AAATGACCTTACTGTAGCATTATGAGTAACCACCGTATGGAACTTATTAGAGTGTATTTCCACCTTCACCTAAGGCTATTGCTGAATACAGCTGCTGGGTTGTCAAAGTTAAATAAAGCATGACCCATATTCACATTGCTCAAAGATAAGTGGAAGGTCTCAAGATAGGATACTAGAGATATCAGATGACAGTGGTAAAGCATGGGCTTTGGAGAAAGTTGAAACCTGAGTTCAAATTCCTGGAAACACTGCCCTGAGCTTCATCTACTGCAAAAGGGTCCTTTTCCAGGTACTCAAAGACCTGTAGGATGCCATTTCTCATTTCCCTCAAATGCCCACACAAACCCAGAGTACTCACAAACTTCATGGTGGCTTCTAGAGTCTCCGGATTCTTTAACTGCTCCCATTTAAATATCCCATAATCCCTAAAATGGGGCCTCCACCTTAGCCACGCAGAGAGCTCCAGCCTTCTCCCACACCACACATCCCTTCCTTGGTCAAACAAGATCTCAGCAGAGGCTCCATGCCCAACAGCTAGCCTGGGCCTCGGGATCCTCCTTCCCAGCCCTTAGCTGACTCCTTAGCCTCTCTGTCTTAGTCTGAGGTACCCCTCCTAACCATCCCTCAAGGTCCCAGCCCTGCCTCCTCAGTGTTTTAGTAGCATTCTGAGTTCCTGCTATGCTGTAGTTCCAAGATACACCTCTTCTAGTTTTAGGTAAACTAGATATTTTAGTTTACCTAAAAAAAAGAAGAAAACAGCTTTTAACTTTCCTGTGCCTCAGTTTCCTCACTGGGGAAAAATGCCCAACATCAACCTCACCAGGTAGCTAGGAACACCAATGAGAGAAACTGTGCCAAGAAACTGCCTGTGACAGAGGCTGATCACTATGAGTTCTTCTGCTCAGTTCCTTTCCAGGGTTGCTGCAAGAAGGGAGACACTTGTCCCAGGCTAGACATAGCTGTCAGAATGTTTCTCAAACATGCCATCAGGAATCAAGAAGTATGGAAAAAGAGGAGTCCACAGGTCCTGAGAGGGAGTCAGACCTGATTTTATCTGAGTCCTACCGGAGGGGAGTTGAAATAATGGAAAATAAGCAATTTTACAGATCGCCTAATATAGGTAGAATTGTTGATTTGATAAAGTCAGTTTATCACTGAACTCGGCAAGCTGTTACATCTGGTTTTTAATTTTTGTCTAGTTTTTTTTGCCATCTAGCTATAATCCTGTACCTTTATTCCATATCTTTTATTCACTTTTGTTCAGTTCTGGCTTGGAAGAAATTATGCAATTTTTCTGCAGTTTTCACATTTTCTTGAATCACAGAAAGATGTGTGTCTCTCTAATACACATGATACATTACATTAATATTATATACTATATAATAAAGTCCATTTATAAATATATTTTATAAATCTTTTTATTTTATAAATATATTTTTAAATATTTTTTTATAAATATATTTTATTTGTAAACTGTAATAAAGGAATGAAACTAATATGAACATAAGAGACAAAGAGGTGGTTGTATAAACAATTCATTTAGCTGACAAAAATGTATTGAGCAGTTGCTCTGTGACAGGCACTGTCCTAATTGCTGGGAATATACGGGGATAAAGTTCTTGTTATCACAGAGTTGATATCCTAGTGCCTGTGTGTGTGGGAGAAAGACAATAAACTGACAACAGTATTTTGTCAGGTGATGATAAGTACTATGGAGACAAAGCAGGGTGCAGGGAGAGAGAATGATGGGGAGAGGCCATTGCAGGTAGGGGATGAAAGAAAGCCTTTCTGAATATGGACATGTGAGAAGATGCCTGAGTGGGGTGAGGCAGGGAGGCACACAGAATTAGAGGAAGTACAACCTAAGCAGAGGGCACAGCAAAGCCTTGAGGCTGAGGCCAGGTGAAGGAACAAGAGGCCATGTGGGTGGAGAGGCGGGAGCAAGGGACAGAGTTTTGATGATGAGATCGGGGCACCCTGTGGCCTGATTCAGAGGCCATCATGGAAGGACATTATGGAAGGGGAAGGACTTTGGACATCATGGAAGGACTTTGGCTACATTCTGAGAAAGGGGAAGCCACTGTAAGGTTTATAGTGAGAAAACCCAAAGTAAGAGTAATTGTATGTGAAACTTGTCAGTATCAAAATGTAGTGACTTATGCTAAAAATGCCGACAAACAGAGCTGAGGAATGGGGGCTTTCTCATGCACAAATGCCTGATAACAAAAACTGTTGCAAAAGCCTCTGCAAAAAAACCCTCAAAAAACACACAACACAACCTTTCACAAATTCCATCACAATCTTAACAAAAATATACTTCTCCAAGGATGTCTGCCCCATAACTGCCTATCCAGCTTGGATTGGCACCCCTCTTGTTACTGATCCTTGTAGCAAAGGATAGTTATCTCCAATTATGCAATCCTCATTTTGTCTTAAAAAAAAAAAAAACCTTTGTCTTCCTTTATCTCCCTGAATACACATTGTTTGCAATATATTCCCAGGGCAATACCCATTCCCAAATAAACATTTTCTTTTAGAGATTCTCTGTTATTTAGGTTGACAAAATGATGTCAGAAGTGGGATGAAAGTGAACTCACCTCAGATGGGTGAAAGGCCCCTGGAACTGGGTGTGGTACCAAATGAACCCTTTGTGCTCCCTGCTTCCACGCAGAGAAGTCATCTTTTTTACCCTGGTGAATCGTCTCTCAGATTCTCACTCTCTCCTTCTGGTGAGTTCTATTTTTGACTTTATTTGGGATCTGATTTGGTTCTAGGGCCAGCTTAAATAAAGGACTTTGCATCTCTATTGGAACTATAACAATTTTGCTTTTTTTTGGGCAATCCCTTTGTAGTATAAAGACAGTATGTATTTCCTGATGAGTTCATTTTTGGTTCTTTCTGTATGTCTAGCTTAATATTTTGTTTGGTCTGCATGCCTGCTTAAGCTTTTTGTGAGTACTCTGGTTTTGATTTAGTTATGTGCATGGGTAAACTATTTGACTCTTCTACTCCCCTCCCCCACCCCCACCGTCTCCAAACATCTTCCAAGGGCAAAAACATTCTAAATGAGGGTTGTGAGATGGTCATTTAAAAGCCACAGGGGTGGTGCCACCACTTAAAAACACTGATCCAAACTCCTGTCCTTTCCCAACAGAATTTGTAGAATTTTCTTTGCTCTTGAAAGATTAAAAAAAAAAATTGAATGGAATCCTCAAATTCTAGAGGCATGTCAAAATATTCTTCCTTTTGGGATTCCAGCCATCTATATTGTAGCCCAACTTGTGCACATTTTTAAACTAATGGGTAAATTACAACAAGGAAAATTTAGAGCTTAAATTGTTAATACTCAAACTCTCTAAGAAAACTGTAACTATACAATTAACACGTAGAGCCTTATAAGTTCTTTTTTTAAACTGCCTGCTTTGAATCTGTTGACTTTTTTGCTGGTGTGGAGACAAACTCACTGCTTATAGTATTCTAGTCAATATTTTAAAAAGTCTTAAAGGACTTTCAAATTAATGGTTTTATAAACTACAACAGCTCCATGACAACCAACAAGTCACAACTAAGAGTCATCCTTTTAAATGTAAATATTTAAATTTGCCTAACAATTGATTAGGGTGATAGAACAGTTCATTGAAGGATTAATAGTCTAAGGAAAGAACTAAATTAATGTTTGTAAAACTTAAGTTCTCAGATCAAACAGGTCAAAATCTTGAGCTCAAAGAAATAAAGTATTTAAGTTCAGGATAAGAATAGTTTTGTCTTCCATACAGTGGTCAAAATACCCCCTAAAGCTGCTAAAATGCCTCCCTGCCTGCACTGGTTAGTCAAGCAACCAGTTTAACAACAAAATATAAATTTATAACTAAAATTCAAGGTGGCTTATACTATTCAGCCAGTCCTATCTAAAATGTAAGCTTTGGAAATTTAGCCCCAAACTCATTTGAAACTGAAAACAGGAAGAAAAAAAAAAAAAAAAAAGTGGGGCAGGGGGAGGTGATAAAAGATATTTTTTTAAAAAACTGAAACTCTGCATTACCCAAAATTTTGGGCCATAGCCTTCATAATCTTATCTATCAGGACAAATGAAAATCTTAAAATTTTAGCCTTGTAAATTTGTTCCATTTTGTCAGAAATATAATTTGGATCCAATTGTCTTTTATAAACTTGTGGGTGTGTATTACTATGTTTTACTCTCTCATGACTAAAATTTTAAAATGAAAGCTATAAGATTTGTTTGTGTGTGTGTACCTGTTTAGGTATATTTACACATATGTACATGTATTATATGTAGTGTCCACATGATGAAATGTTGTGTAGTCTGCCAGAACTCCATTAAGAAATTCAATTCACATTGTCTTAAGAGCTCACAAAAATTGTTAAAATATATGGTCATTAACCAAAATGACTTTTAATTCACATGATTTAAATAAATCTTTGATACATAAGCTGATTTTAAATGTGTTGATAAAATAAAAACTTAAATGTCTTTGGAACTTTCAGCCTACATTTTTGCCTGGTTTACTGGTCAGACAGGATTATAGGTTTCTGTTATATACTATATTTGATATACTGCTAAAATAGGAAGGCTTGGATTCTTGTCTCTTTTTATACCAGCAAAGAAACTGACATATTTCTGGTCTTGCAGCATAAATGTCTCACAGCCCAAGGGCTGGGGTGTGATATCCAGTCTTACTAAATATATGTGCTGCCCATCTCTATGAATTTTCCTTATAAGGGCTGTGTGAGAAGCCAAGCTGTGTGTTCTCTCCATCATTCACCCTTTATTGATAGATATATGCTCAACATTTTAATTTTGGAAATAGGTTATGAGCATCCTACCATCTTTAAAAATTATTTTTAGAATTGTTTTACATATTAGGTATAAACAATTAGAAAATAATTCTATAGCATTAATATATGGAAATAAGCAATTAATGACAAAATATCCTGGTTAACTGAAAGACTGCCTGAGTACTTGATAAATTAATACAAAATGAGTTTTAAAAATACTTTATTTAAAAGTAAATGTAATGTTTTATGAAAAATATTTACATGTTTCTACTTACATGCTGTATTGGTTCTATTAGTCTCAATTAGATTTAAAGTCCAGTTTTGAAAAGCTTGCTGAATTTTCTTCTGAAATTAAGCATTTAGAACTGAATACATAATTTACAAACATCATACAAAGGCACAGAACAGGGAAAAAAAACCATTCTCTCTCTTGAAGTGGCTAGAAAGGAACCTGGAGCATCACCTGCTCGCAAAGGAAGCAGGGGTACTGCAGAATGTTCACTGTTAGTACTAACCTGTCTAGATGAAAGGTTCATCACCTATCATGGTTTGTTTGTTTTTTTAACCAAGAGTCTTTGTAGTTGTCAGGCCAAAAGTGAGAAGGCCAAACAGCCTCTTTATGCTTTTATCTGAACAAAGACACTCCATTTGCTTCATACATCAACTAAGATATACTTTCTGAGATCTTGATCTTTTCATGAAATCAAAGCAGAAAAACTGTCCAAGAAAATCAGAGACTTCAAGTTGGTGCATCTTAGTTGAGCTCATGATGATTCTCTGGCATCTGCTGTGAGTCTATAACCAATCAAGGACTCTTTACCACTATCCTCCACAAGCAGCTCCACTAGCACGTGTGGTTTATCATAACCAAAAGAGGTGGGGGCGTTTCTCAGTGTGACAGGCTCTTGCCCTTCTGTCTTTATTTCAGTTTTATTATTTGGGAGGAATTCTGAGTCAGATAAGAAGCTACCTGATTCCACATGGCCACTATCAGAACCATTTCTGGAGTGATATGAGTTTAAAGTGATGCTGCAGGCTTCAGACTGGTTACTGCTGAAGTGAGAAGAATTCTCTCCCTCTACTGGAGTCAACAGGCTGCCAGATGCCATGTCAGAAATATTTTCTTCAGTAGTCACCACTTCTGTTACACTAAAAAGTTCTTCTCTGGGTTCTTCTTTTTCTGGATTGTCTTCAGTATGCATGCCTGGATTTGTTGATGGAGACAACTGTTCCTCACAGATCACCTCCTTTTCAGATACAACTGGCTGGTATGATGTGATGAGCGATACATATTTTGATTCAGGCTTTGTGTCTGAAGTGGCATTTCTTACGACAGAGAGCTAAGGGGAGAGAAATTGATTAAAGGTAGTCAATTATTAAGCATAAGTGCCTCTCCTTAAAAAAAAAAAAGTCTAAAGGTAACGGACAACTAAATGCCACATATGGGATAACAACTGAATCAGACAGTTGCCTTTTCTTTTCTTTCTTTTTAATGAAAAGCACTACAATAAGACTAAAAAAGAATTTTAGGATTTTTTAAAAAGCTACCCACTATCTTGCCAATACATACTGCTTTTTGTACATTACCTTCCACATTTATGCATGTTATAATTGCAATGGGAGCACACTTACTTATTTTATATAATATTCTCATTACTTGCCTTTATCATAATTTTCTGTGGCATACTGATAATTAACTTATCTGATAGATGTTGAAGGTGTTGCCAATTTTAAATATTTCATACATCTTTTTATTTGTGAAACTATTTCCTTATCATAAATCTGTAAGAGTGGAATGACTATATCAATGGGTATGGCATGTTTACAGCTTATTACACTTGATACCCATTGCGTACTTATCTTCCCACCAGGGCTATGTTACTTTTCCCAAAATACGCCAGTTATGCTACTTCAACTACTGGGCATTCAGGTTTATTTTTCCTTCTCTAGTGTGTGTAAAAATGGCATACTGCAAGGTTGCTTTGTTCTTAATGACCAGTAAGGATAACTATTATAATTCAAGTGCAAACAAACTGTTGATAGTTCCTATCTACTTTACTTAAAGGTAGTTTTTTTTAATGGCAAATTTCATCACAGATATTATTTGATTCAAATAGATACTATTCTGTCATATTTGATTCAAATAGATACTATTCTGCTACCTCTAAATGTTTTTTTCATCAAACAAAAGCTCTGAAATGTTAAACTCCAAAGTGGTCAAACTCCTGTGTTAGACTCGTTTTTGGCCATCTTTCATTCCACACTCCAACCATAATGAAGTGTTTCTGCATTTGCTTATCTTCAAAAGCCACGCTTTCTTGATTTTGTCTTAGTACCTGAGTAAACTCCTATCTGTCTCTCAAGACTGCTGTATCACTGCCTCTGGAAAAGCTGCAACTAACTCCCACCCATTAACACTGGACACAGTCCTCATTGGCTTGTGTAAAACCTCTACCTTTGAACCTATCACACTGCATATACCCATTGTATACTTATCTTTTCTTCCCACTAGACTTTAAGCTCCCTAGCAAAATTGCCTGTGTTTTTGTCCTAAGAATAAAAAAGTACCTGGTGCATAGTAAAAGATATAGTATATGGCTTTAGATGTGTGGTAGATTGAATGATTTATGGTAGATGACATGCAGTTGGATATATGAAAGACATAATTTAAGAAACTGTCAAAAAAGGTTCAAGTTAATATTTTAGCGTATATATTTAAAGAAAAATATTTAAATACATTACCAAGGACTTGGGCAACATTGTACTTTTTCTCTTAAATGGATTAATCTTCTTAATATAACACAAGACTGATACTAGGATAAGTACTAGAAAGATCAGGAAAGTAGCAACAACTAGAATCCAGGTATTATCTAAAAAAAAAAGGAAAAATCACAAATTATAATTAAGATAAAATACTGCTATTAGATAAAAAGTCTTAGTGCTATTCTTTAATAGATTTACACATTAGCTAAGCCAGGCAATCTGAGTGAAAAATTAAGTATTTGTCCCGGAGAGAAATATGATTCTTCCCAGGTCTGTGATTCTAATACTTTCTGGGACTATATTGCTGTGACACAATGCAGTTAAGATACCTTTTCCAAAACAAATTCCTTAGGGCCCCAAATATAAGGTGTTTCCAGAGTTATGCTTTTCTCTCAGTTAAAAAGGCAAAATAATTTTTAAAACAGCTTTCTTTAGAATAAGTTCTGGCAATGTTTATAACTCATCAAACAACTTAGCCCTGTTACACTTATTTATTTCAAAATTACAAATATTTATGTTATAAAGATACACAGATACACACACACACAGGAATATTGTACAGGAATAAAGGCCGCCTGACTGCAAACCAGATATAAAAAATAACAAAAAGTAGGAACAATTTGTCTCTGAGCACATATGTCTTGAATCACTATTGTGTATTTTGCTCTAATGCTGCTTTTTTACTTTTCAGCACAATCATCAGTAATTTTTCCCACAGTCCTCTATTTCAAGTAGTTGGCACCTTTCATGGCATTTTATTACCTCAAATTTTCTATTCCAAAGTTACCTCTTTGGAATAGTAACTGTGGAAGTTATTACTTAATGAATATTTATATTGCACCTAGTACAGGATGTGAACAATTTTAAATCATCACAACAGTAAAAGATAAAATGACCACATAACTAATATCAGCACAGTGTCGGAAGTCCGAGAGCAGAGAAGGTGCCGCACGCAAGGCACCTAGACAGGCAGGGATTGCTGCTCACTAGTCACCGTGGTGCCCCCGTGTGGCCACATTAGTCCAGTTCATAATTCAGGCTTAAAAAAAATAAATCTGAGTACTTGCATTATTTCACATTTGTTTATTACGTAGGATTTTATTTTTCAAATAGAATAACGTAATTTAGCTTCAAATGTACTGTATTACTTTAATCCACCTAATTGAAACCTTCATATAATGGTCTGAAAGTTATTAGTATTAAATTCTAGGCCTGCATTTCCATTCTTCAAAACGATACTTATATCATACAATTTTAATGCACATTTTGAAGCCTAGGAAGTATGCTCTGAAAATATACTAACAACAGTAAAAAATATATAAACACCAAAACAGTCATCAAATCATGATTTATCATAGTGAAAACCCCTGTAAATAATCTCAAAATTTCAAAAACAGCAAGACATTAAGTAGAAAGAACATAATTTATATGATGAAAATTCTACAGGCATTACAAGAGATTAGTGAAGTATCTGAAATAAAATGGAAAGATATTTATAATATATGATTAAAGCAGTACACAAAATTATATATTTATATATTTTACAATATATGATATGGCATCATATCATATGATCATATATTTTATGATATATGATCATATGATAATATGATCACGGCTATGGAAAAAAACTAAAAAGAAACACCAAACTCTGACAATGGAGTATTTTTGAATCACAGATAGTTTTATTTTCTTCTGGCTTTTCATATTTACAAATTATCTATAATGAGCACTTAAATGTCCTAATTGTAAAGAAAAGCCTAAACTTTTTTTGAGGTACCTGTCACCTTAGAATGCCAGTTCTAAAGTTTTATTCTATGTAGCTACATACTGCACCCCCAGGAAAAGATAAAAATTATTTCAAAATGTTATAAAAATGACCCATAATCCATATCAAACTGATCTACATACTTTTTTGGATATTAATTTCTAGTCCTTACCCAGTTCATTTCACACAGTTTTAATCAATGAACATTCCTGCTCTTCAGTCTTTAAACTTGCAATCCCCATAAAGAACATTTTAATGGATTCATAACATTTGCTATGCTGAAGTTACAACTTGCCTGATATATTACCCAAAATCCTGAAATGCAGACTTTTATGCACATCATTCTACATATTGTTATATATTTTTTTCTTTCCTGGATCAAAAGGCTATCACATGGCTTTCTAAATTGGTTGTTCTCTATCTTTTAATGCCCGAGAAACTGCCTTATTTTTCATTTTGAACTTTGAGAAACAGAAATACTGAATGCTTTTAAAAGAAAGCAGATTTTCTGAAACTGCAAATGATTTGTCTTTTCTCATACTATCCTATTTTAGTTATCACCCCCTCTACATTTAGAAAAAAAAGTCAAGTACGCACCTTTAGTACCGTTATCAGAAATGGTAATACAAATTTCTTTTGACTTTTCGGTTGTAATACCCAATGCATCTAAGATTCCTTTTGCTGAGGCACAGAACTGAGAATCCTCCGAGGACAATGGAAGAGTTAACTGGCACTCAGTCTCGTTGCAATCATCATCTGAATTCATGTGGATTTTATACAGGTTCTGTAGGGGGGAAAAAATAACAATGAAAATGTATGGCTTCTTTTAATCTGCAAAAAAAAAAAAAAAAAAATCACAGTATTAATTCTGGTCAACACCTGAAGAAAACATATATATGATTAATGTTGAAAATGTCTAAAATTAACTTTGACATCAAGTAATAAGTCAATTTGTTACTTCAATACGACATGATACTAAGTGTTTATTAAAATGTTCATTAAAGGGACTGTAAGTTTAAAAACTAAAATATTAGGAATGTTCACTCTTAGTTGCTAAACTAGCAACTTATTATTGTTATTTGGTGTATTCCTAGAGTGTTAGAAACTTAACTAGTGAGAGGTAAAAGCATTTTATAGGAAGAATAATAAAGCAATTACACAACAGCTGTAGGATCTCTGGGCAGGGCAGTGATTCACAGAAGTGGTTGAAGCGATCCCCGTCAGCTTATTGTTAATTCAACCAGCCTCAGTGTGTGGACCACCTGTGCCAGGGCCTGACTTCAAGTAACTTACAAGAAGGGAGTAAGAAAGAAATGAATGGAGTCAGGAGTACTGCAAAAGGATACTATACGGAGCTACCAAGAACCAGATCACAGAAGGGGAAAGAGTCTCCCGGGTCAGAAAAGAATTCAAAGTGGAGCTGATAACCCAGTGGACTACTGAAATGAGCAGAAATCTGCCAAATGGAAACAGTGAAAGAGCACGACTCTGGGAAAGAGCATGGGATGGTGAACAAGCAGTTCACCAAAGCATGGATGAAAACAAGGCTGGAGGAAAACGGAGAGGCTGCAGCCAGAGGCCAAATCCTGAGGGCTTTGCAGGCCCAGGCAAGGAAGGGAATTCAGACACCATTAGGAAGCCCATGAGGATCCGTGCAAAGGCTGTAAGCAGCAGAGTAATACAACTAGATTTGCAGTTAAGACAACTTTGCTAGCAACCAAAGTCACATGAATGTGTGTACACGGATGAATGTGTGTATGTAGGCATGTGTGTATATGCATGAATGTGTGTATAAGCATGAACATGTATATGTATGAAAGTGTATATATGTATGATTGTGTTCATGTACAAAGGCGTAAATGTATGCAAGTGTGTAGATGTATGAACATGTATACACACATAATCCCATGTACATGTATGTGTATAGAATGTGTGTGTATGAATGTGTGCACATGTATTGAAGGGTGCAGGAAGCGACCAGAGGGGCAGCTCCCAAAATCGCACCGACACACCAGACAACAAAGGCCCTAGGTCCCGGCTTCTGTGAGCACAATTCCCCAAGCGCGCATGCCACGCGTGAATTTCAAACCTTCCAGCGTGCGAATTTCAAACCTGCAAGCCTCCAATCCGTAGCCAGCTTTGTTATGCGTCCAATAGGACCATAACACGGCATTGGCCCCACCCTGCTCCCATGCAGCTCCTCCAATAGGAACATAGTACGGCCCCCTCCGGCCCCTGTCAGGCTGATAAATACAGCCCTCTCCCCACGACCCTTCTCTCTCGGTCTCTTTCTCTCTCTCTCTGTTGCTCTTTCCCTCTCTGCAGCTCTCTCCCCGCCTCTCTCCCACTTCCTCTCTCTCTCTTCCTCTCTCTCTTTCTTTTCTTTTTTCCTGTTACAGATCCCCTCTGTAACAGCCCCTTTTAATAAATCTCTTGGTCCTGGCCAGGTGTGGAGTCATTACTGGCGCCGAACTTCTTTCATCGGTGCCGTGACTCGGATTGGGTGCCCCCTCGCCTTTGTGCGGGTGTATTCCCGTAGGCAGGATCCCCGACCTGGTGCCAGTGGCCACTCCAGCCCTCCCGGACCTTCGCCACCATTTTGAACGCGTGACCTGCATCCACCAGCGACCATTGGATAGGTGAGTTCCCC